ACTTTTTTTATATTTTCTATTTGTCTGACAGCAGTACCAGTTCTTCATTCTCTTCTGAGAATATTATAGTAAATTTAATAAGTTTTACCAATTCAATAGATATTTTCATTCTCTTGACTCATATAAATTTATACAAACACACAATATAAGATAAATGCAATAATGATGTTTCAACACAAAATTCATTTATTATTTTTATAATTTCACATATTTCTAATCAATTTATGAATTTTTTCGAATATTATATACAATCCTCAAATGTATATTCACATACTCTTGAAAGAGCATATATATACTCGAATATCATTTATCATCTCAAAACATAATCACATACACATAAAAAATTATATGTACACTCGAAATATCATTTTTAAGTTTTTATCGCGCAATAACGTTTATGTCGTTATCGAAGAAAGTCAAAATTAATTCCCTTATCGCATGAATAGCACACACACACACACAAATCTTACAACGGTCACAGTAGGTACATTTGCTAGGTGACCCACACTCACAAATACCTATCCACCTCTGTATTAGGTTTCAGACTCTATCCATGTGCAGGTTCACCATACTCACTGAACTTTAGTCACACACACACACACTACCCTCCTCAATTCAGACTAAACGAGAAAGCATTCAGGGTTCCTAACTTATTCACTTATACCATCTCATTCTAAAATTTTTATCTACTTATCTCTTATTCCGTTTTTCTCTTAAGTTTATTTAATTGATCATTTCATAACTTCAATTATTTTTTTTAATTTCATTTTCAATTTTTTACATAATTAAAAATTTTCTTAATTCTCAATTTAGTATCTCATCACAATCCAAATAAATTCTCGGTCTTTTGGGTATGTTATCGAGTTTCGTTTTATCATAAATCTGAGTTCTATTTTTCATCAAAAATTGGGTCAATATCCGTTTAAATTTCAAAATTTATAATTTAATTAAATAAATGCAATTTCGAAATTTAAACCTGGTTAAAATTTAGAAATACTTACACTAATACGCATTCTTCCAGATCCGCCTAAATGTCCTAATTTTCTTGTACACACATGATATAAACTAATTAAAATATTTCAAAAGACTAAAGATTAATTTAATTGAATTTCAGATTCCAATGACCACTCAATAGAATACCTGAAATTTTCGGATCCTTATCTAGAAAACCTTTTAGCTTTCCGTTCGGCGAATAAAATTCTCATTTTTTGAGAACGACTTTTTATCTTCACGAACGGCCAATTAGAACCCCAAAATGATGGATTGGGTTCCTATGTTTGGGGAAGACCATTCAGCTTCTCGAATGGGTCGGCTTCCCCACACTTGAGGAAACCTCCTCGGTTCCCGTGCGGATAGGTGGCCCAGCCAAATCGCACGCCCAGCCCAACACCTTCCCGCTCCACCGTCGCTCAAACCACAACCAAAACACGAAAACAGAACAGCTTTACCTTCGTGCGAGCGATTTGGCCTCGACTTGGCTCCCGATCGCCTTCCCTAAGTCACCCTACGACTCTCTAGCTTGATTGAGACTTGGATGGTGATTTTTCAAACCTACAAACCGATTTGTAAAAAAAATAAAAGAATCTAAGAAATAGAAAAGGAAGACGAACTAAAAAAGAAGACTTTACCTTTGCTCG